GGGTGTCCGGGATCAGGGTGGGGATCCCCACTGGGGTGCCTGGCCAGTCTGGGTGAGGGATGATGGCTGTTTGCACCTGCTCACACACCCTTCAGGGTGGGGGTCCCCACTGGAGTGCCTGGCCAGTCGGGGTGAGGGGCTGAGGGCTGTTTTCAGCTGGTCACACACCATTCAGGGTGGGGTGCCTGGCCAGTCTGGGTGAGGGGCTGAGGGCTGTTTTTAGGCTGGCGGGTGACGGAAGCTCCCAACTGCTCCTTTTTTCCTTTTTTTTAAAAAATTCTGGGCCAGCTTTAGCTCTGAGGCTCCAGCTCTGAGGCCTCAGCTGCTGAAAGTAGGTATCTGGTTTGTTTCGGTTCTGTAATCGAAACTCTGTATCAACTCCAGTTCTGAAGATCCCGGCTAGCTGAAAGCAGGTTTCTGGGATTTTGTTTAGCTTCTATATTTGTAACATTGTTTCAAACTGCAAGCTCAGAGGCCGGCAGCGGCAGGCGGGGAAAGTTGGAGTCCTCCATCACTGAAGCAAGCAAGCCTCATGTTCACTTCAAGCTGCCTGGCAGCCGGCCGCCATCTTGGCTGGCAGTTAATTTGCATAAAGCTTTTTAAAGTAAACAAAACAAAGCAAAAAACCTCAATTATAAAAACAAAATAAAAAAAATCCCTGCTGAAAAAAATGTAAAATATAAGATATGGTTGACTTTAAGAAACACACACACACACACACACCCTCCACGAGGTTGTATAACAACGTATGGGAGTTCCTGATCCTGGCAATACAGAGTTTTGTAAACTACTGGAATTAATCAAGACTTATAGAATAAAGGAACAAAAAGAAAAGTTAATCTACTGCTTACTCTTCGCCTGGGCTGGGGGAAGCCATCTCTGTGTCGTCGTCTTGTTCGGGAACGTGCCTGGATTCCCTGCCCTTTATTCAATGGGTCAAAGGATTCTATAAGAATCAGCAGAAGCATAATGTAAGATAAATAACTCACAGACTTAAAGACTAAGACTAAGAAAGAAAATAGCAGATAATAATCACTATAATTCATTATTTTATTTGTGATAACATAAAAATTTGACATATAGGAGAACCGAAGATGGCGGCATAGGTTAACGCCGGAGATTGCTGCCTTGAACAACCAATTCAAATTAAGCTTGAACCAGGGACCGGACAACATCCAGAACCACAACAGGGCTGGCTGAAATTCTACAACTAGGAGTAAAGAGAATATTATATCCAGACTCAGAGGAGCCGCAGTGCTGAAGTGAAATTCTCAGGTACCGAGTGCGCGCGGAGCGGGGCTGGCGGCGCGGAGGACGCGATTGTTTACAATCGGGCGGGAGTCGCAGACT